TACTTATTTTCTTAACTATTTCACAAGTGTGCAGAAATAACTTTCTGGCAAAGTCTTAATATTTTGAGCCTAACCTTTTATAAAACAGTTCAAACTAAATGTGAGCAAAATGCTTTTTTTCTGGACTGATTTTTTTTTCCTTTTAAAATAAAACACAGAATGCTATATACTTTTCAAAAAATATGTACTCGGTAACGGAGGAAACATTTTGTCTAACATTCTGTTAAAATAGTCAGTCTGAAGCAGACACCTGCCCAAGGAGAATTTCACCCCAAACCACTAAACTCTGCTGGAATGAAACAGGGTGTCACAGTGGCAAGTGGCAACCACCTCAAAATGTGATCCCACCAGTCCATTCCTCACCTCACTCAATGAAACAGTTTCATCTAGAATTTACCAGTATGTAGATCACATTAAGTTACTGTTCTCATTCTTCAGATGTAACTCTTCATCACTTACAAGTTTAATTCAAACTTGTATTAAAGTATTATCTAGTGAAAATCTTATAAGCTGGACAGTCTTCCCACTATTGTTTTCAAAAGTCAGTATTCTGACAGGGTATTTCAGAATTTCTTACCATCCTCAGTCCTTGGTTGCTGGGGGAACATGTAATTAGTAAGCACTGTCTTCTGTGTGTCAGGATCAGTTTCTTTTTGAAGAGGGATGAGTGGTTTAGACTAGGAAGCAAATTAAAGAAGAATATGTTATGAGAATATATATAAAAAAGTAAATATAATTTACATATCACAGAGCATGTCTGTTCCATTACTTTGAAGACTACTCTGCCCTGTATTAAGCGATTTCTCCTCTGAATAATATTCACAAAACGAAGTTATTAACATGTCTGTCTTTGAGGACAGGCTTTGACTGAGAACTGAAACTTAGCAACAGCTTTAAGAGAAAAGCAAACACTGGATATTCAAAAAATAACCCAGTTTCTTGCTAGGACTTTAATTATTCCAAAGCAGGCTGACCTGGAATACACACATACACTTGGCCATTTAAAGCTGCAGATAATCATACGAAGAGAAAAATTTTGTACTCAATTTTTCATATTGACACCAAATTGAATATCACCCATCCCTTATGAAAAAGGGCAGGAGATTCCTGAAATTATTATATTAGTAGAAGTGCTTTCATTACACTATAACTGAAGCTAGTGGATTTCTAGCAGCTCTGTAAACCTTAATGCCATTCAGAAAATCAGCATAGTACAGTGGGCTTCAATACACAGCAAAAATACAAGCCACAGGCACATGAGTTACGGCTTAACAGCTTGAAACATGGACAGTCAAGAGTTCAAAGGTGTGGCAAGAAATCTAACTCAAAAAAGGCAGGTTAAATTTCCCCATTAGTAGAGCTGTGGAAGAAACAGCACGCTACACATTCAAGTACTAGCTTATCAAGCGTTAACTCTCCTGTACAAACAAGAATTAAGAAAAAAGAAAAAAAAAAAAAAAAACAAAAAAGCCAACATCTGCTAAATTGCACCTCTTAACAGCACAGAACATTACTATAAGGAATGAAAGTCTCCAAACCCAGGTAGGCTCAGTTGTGCTTATTTCAGAAGAACCAACATAGTAATGCCAAGGAAGCACTCATATATATAGGTAATACCAGGCCTCACTATTTAACAGATGGCTCAGTATTTGCCAGTCCCATTAGGAATAAAGACAACAACAATCTATTTATAGTTTTCAAAAAGTTCACCTGATTGTCTGATAGCCACATAGCAGTGAGCTGTTGCAGTTTTGTAAAGGTAAACGGCAAATTCTTCAGTCTGTAAGTTACAACAAGAATTTATGTAAGTAAAGTTATCAATCCTGATAAGACACAATCCTGTATTAGCTTGTAAAAGTGTTTAAAAAGGACATTTACAGACATAGTTAAATTAATAACTATTGACACTTGAAAGGCAACAGCACTTAATTTAGATTCAAAGCTATACCTGCAACTTAAAAAAAACCAAACAACAAAAACCAAACAGACTCAAATAAAAAAGACACTTTTCTGCCCAGTTAGCAAGCAGCTTAAAAACAGTGACAAGGTAACTTGAATTTAACTCAGTTCAGTTACTTGAATACAATTTTGAAGAAAATTAACCTGAATGAATTAATCTGAATCCTCAGTATTTCATCTTTCAATATACATGCACAACAATTAAGAAAGAAGTGCTACACCTGAAGATAGTTTGTTCCAAAGATAAATGTGTGGGAAAGGGGCTGCCTTGGATAATGGAAGCTCTGGCACTAATGGATAAATCAAGCGACAGACAGAGTACAGAGAAGCTGGATTGGCAGAACAGGAGGGAGAACTCAGCTGGACCTATCTCTACCAATATATTTCAATTCTACAAACTGGCAATTCCCAGAAGAGAAGTATTTTGTCAATCACAACTCTTTTCCCTTCTCCCCAACACACTCAAGTGTTTTGCCCTATACTGTGATATTGTGTTGTGTTGTCCATATGCAATACAGGAAGCTATTAACTTTTAAGTAAGAATCAAAAGTTTTATGAAAATAACCAAACTAATTCTCCAGAAAAATACATGCTAACAATCATGAATGTATTGAAGCTATGCTTCAATGCATATGCCATGTGCCAATTTATTAAAATAAAACCAGCTTAATACAATGGAACTGCAAGATACAGAATACAACAACAATACACTAAATACGTGCATCTCAGCTTCTAAGCTGTGCGTGAGATAACAAAAGACAGCATAATATATTAATAATATCTCTACATTATTATGGCATTTTATAGAATTTATACTTGAATAAATGCATTCACAAACCTATTGTCACTCAGATTGATGACTTTCAATTTCTGCATATCACCCATTTCTTCAGGGAGAAATTCAAGCTTATTAGAATGCAGAAACAACACTGTTACATGCTTCCAGTTTCCAATCTGAAAAAAACCCCAAAGAATTAATTCATCTTCACAACTCTAAATATGCAGAATTTTACTGTTTAAAAACACTTAGTATTATAGCAATTTTTGCCTGTAAAGTATAATTAATTTATTCTTACATATTAAACTTTCTTTTAGTTTCAACACACTAGCAACAAATTTCTACTTCTTGCTTAAAAGAATTCAGAATTTCATTATTTGAAAACTTGTATATTTGTATACACCCTCCTTTAAAACATACATGAAGAAAATCTCCTCAAGAATCATTAACTTGTTATCCAAAAGTTGCACAGACTATATAGTTTAATACATTAAAAAATTAATTTTACAGTTTTGTAATTAAATACATACCTCTGATGGCAGCTGTGTTAAAAAGTTATGATCTGCAGCAAACGTCCTTATATTAGAGAGCTGCCCAACTGACGAAGGCAATGTTTCAATCTCATTGAAACTACAGTCCAGTTCTTCTACTGATATTAACCTAAAAAAAAAAATTAAAATAAAATCACTCTTCCATACAGGTTTATTCATTCAATATTAATTGAATAATCTAAGTTTAAATTAAGTTAATACCACTATTAACTACAAATATAAAATGTAATTCGAAATACAACTCTGAAATCCAAGGGAATTAAAATCTCAGAAGAATCCTTTACTAATCACCTAAATGGTGTTTGGTTCTTTGTTTGGGTTTTTTTGGGGGGAGAGGGGGTGGGGGGGAGTTGGTTGATTGTGGCATTTTTGGTGGGGTTTTTTGGGGGGAGAGGGAGGGTGGGGTGGTGGTGGGTTTTTTTTCTATGTGTGTGGGTTTTGGGGGCTTAATGATCTTTAAACTCCCCTCATAAGAGAGCATTCAGTGAAAACAGAGTGGTCAGCAACAGCAAATGTTCGTGTACTACATGGAAAATGTGCTACTGCAAGGCTCTGAAAACATTCAGAATGGGACAGATCATACTGAAACAGGAGTTGAGTACAGTTTCTGAATAAGCAAATAATTTCAAGTTTTAGAGAGAGTGAACCTAAGAATCTGGCAGTGAAGTATTTTGTAAATTCTGACAACAAAAGATAATCTACGTTAATTATAACAGGAGAAAAGAAATTGGAACAAACACCCTTCATTCGTATAGCACTTAATTCTGTAGCAATTATTTTTGCTGTTCTTTGTGAGTTTTAAATTAAATTGCTGAAGACCAAATTATACATTAGAGAAACCTGCTGATGAACAGGTGAAAATTCTCTTTATAATATAAAAAAGATAAATGTTTGTGTTCAGATTAACTTTTTACAAGTTTTGTTATAGTAGTTCAACTATTTGCAATACCATCTACAGCCATAGCTATGTTACTGCCAAAAATCAGTTTCAGTTAGCTGACTGCCTTTTTAAACATCTTGCTTTCTTTCACGTTCAGTTTTTCTTTTATAGATTGGTGGTTGTATTAATAAGTGAGGAACACAGGTCTTTTCATATTAAATAATTATACATAAAGAATATACATGCTGCAAACTAGAACATATGAAAACACTTGCTTTCAATTTTATTAAGATATTAACATGTAGAAGAAATTAAATCAAGAAGGTGGAAAAACATTCAAAAGAGGAGCCATTGCTACCAAAAAGTGTACAGAAAGGCAATTCAACCTTTTATTCAGGAGATATACCTACCCTCCTATGGAGTCTGGCAAATAAATTAACTGGTTTTCATCAATTTTAAGTGTTGTTACCTTCTTCAGGGAACCTGTAATAAAATGAACAAGTAAATCAAAAAGGGCATGTGAGTTCATTAAGCTTAGTTTTAATTTTAAATTAAGGGAAAAAAAACCAACTATGGGCAAGCAACCACATCTCCTGTATTCCCTGGCATGGCTATAGTGCTGTATACCTAATGAAATAAACAGACAAGCTTACAGAACTTGTTCGCCAGCTTACGATGTGGCAGACATGGGGCAGAGGGGCTGAGGGAGGTGAAGAAGAGAGAAAAAAAAATATTTTTTCTTTTTTACTCTATTATAGTCAACAGTTTCTCATCCATTTACAAACTAATGTATAAAGTCATGAATGCTACAAAACAAATATAAATGTTACTATTCAGCTATGTATTACAGTTTTATCCAAAACAGGCACTTTTAATCAATTGAAACTTCAATCTAAAATGACATTTGACTATTTTTAAGTGTTCTGTGTCTAAGCTATAAGCTTTTAAGAACATGAATTAACAGAAAATACAAACCAATAGACTCTGGCAGTTGCTGAAGTGAATTACTGGATAACAGTAGGTCTTGCAAGCTTTCACAACCTGAAATACCTTCTTCAACTACTTCAATGTTGTTTTTAGAAACATCCAAGTAGGTCAGTTGTTTCAAAGTTCCTATGAACTAAAAGCAAGAGAAAATAATGCATTCTAAAAAATGCAAGTTCAAAACAAAAAATCCAGCAAATTTGATAATGAGCAAACATAATGCCAGAGGAAAAGAGAAAACCTATTTATAGTGCTGGAATACAATTCTATAAAAAAACCCCAAGCTTTATAATGATATATTTTGTGCAGATACACACCGTTGATGCTTCTCCACACACACAGCATAGTAATTCTGCAGGTCTCTCTGGTTCGTCTGCTGCAATGGTTTGATCAGTTACCATGAATCAAGTAACTGAAGCTTTAGAACTTCAGATAGAGACAGATAATGTAAGGACTTAATTAGGCTCCAGTAAAGTATTTTCACAGAATCTCAGAATGGTAGACGTTGGAAGGCACCTCTGGAGATCATCTAGTCCAACCCTCCTGCCAAAGCAGGTTCACCTAGAGCAGGTTGCACAGGAAAGCGTCCAGGCGGGTTTTGAACATCTCCAGAGAAGGAGACTCCACAACCTCTCTGGGCAGCCTGTTCCAGTGCTCTGGCACCCTCACTGTAAAGAAGTGTTTCCTCATGTTTAAGCAGAACTTCCTGTGTTTCAGCTTGTGCCCATTGCCCCTTGTCATGTCACTGGGCACCACTGAAAAGAGTCCGGCCCCATCCACCCGCCCGTTAGATATTTATAAAGAGTAATAAGGTCTGCTTGCAGTCTTCTGTAGGCTCAGCAGACACAGCTCTCAGTCTTTCCTCATAAGAAAGATGCTCCAGCCCCTTAACCATCTTTGTAGCCTTAATGCTTATTTTTGCCTTTTGTGTAAAACTGTATCCTATTAAACCTGAAAAGCAACAACAATGAATCCCTAATTGTACTAAACTAAAGAAACAAGTCAAAATATAAGCTTGTATTACCTTCCCATATGAACCAAGAATAAGCTTGAAGGTTTGTGCACACTACTCTACTAAAATCTTCACAGGGAAGATGCAGTCACTTTCACAAATACAGTTTTACTTTTACTGTAAAGTAGAAATGTTTAATACATCCACTTAACTCTTTAAGAAAGAATTAGCTGAAGAAAGACAGTAGAGAAGACTACCGACAGGCAAGAAAGCCTCACATGAGAAGACTGCTAGTGATTTCAAGTCTGAAAACAGATCACTGCTTCCCAAATTTCAAATACTCATTTACTAATTTACTACAACATAAGCACAGGTTTGCCAGTACTACAATAATAAGTCACCCTGGACCCTATATAATTCTGAGAGATGTGAGGAACCCAAAGTCAACAGAACATTTTCTCAGGAATTGGCCATGCTCTCTGCATACATGGGACATCAACAGGCACTGCTTGCTTTACAGCTCTGACCAGTAAAAATCCACATATTATACTTATCCTGTAAATTCCTGCTTTCTGTCTAACACAAAATAGTCCCTTTTTGAAAGCACCAGAGGACCCTAATTTGCTTCAGAATTTGATCCAGGATTTTTACTCCTTTCCTCAACTGGAACATAATTTTTAGGTGAAAGGCATATAACTTTCAATGAAAGAAAAGCTGTGTAACCAGCTCTCATGATCAGTGACCATTTCTAAGTGGACTAACGTTACACATTTAAGTGGCATTTAGCCTTTTGGCTTTAAATAACATTAAAATTACACAGCAACTTTAACATATATGATAGCTGACAAAGTTCATACCACTATAAACTAAAATACTAAACGTTTAACACAGTAAAGAACTTACCCCTGGAATAAGTGTTAGTCTATTACCATCCATCCAAAATTCCTTTAACCCACTCAGTTGTTCCAGTACTTCAGGCTGTAAAGGGAAGCCATATTTTAAAAACTTCATACAAAAAACAGTGAAAGACAAAAACAACTTCAGTGATTCTTTTATTATAATTTTAAGTAATAACTTATTATAGTCATCATATACACTTTTTTTACAAAGTCATCAAAGAAAACCCAGATAATTCACTTTTTGAATTGTAAATATATACCAGATATATAAAAATCTTTTAAGAAGTTGATCACAGCACCACAGCACTAATAATACTTACAGAAGTGTGTTGTGGTTTTTTGGTTTGGGCTTTTTTTTTGTTGTTATTGTTGTTACAGAAAGTATTATATTTAACTGCAGCACATAGTAAGTGTTACATGTATAATTTCCTCCTTCATGGAGGAGGTCTAAAGCCCCTCAAATTCCATCAACTCAGAAGAGCTGTTTTTCAAAAACCACAATGATTTAGCAGTTTTGAGGAAAGCAAAAACAAATTTAAATTTTCTAGCAACAAAGGGTGCATCTGCACCATACAAGCAAACCACTCCATCCATAAAGTGAAGTGCAGGATTGTGCTTCTATTACAAGTTATTGTTAGAAGTATCTTATGTATCAGAGAAAGACCATTTCTTGGTAAACATCCATGTTGCACGTGCTTTCCTATTTAAACTTTCCCCTTAGAAAGAAATACAAAACAGGTGCTACTGCGCCTCAATAACTACAGCCAAGTTCATTTAAATACAGAACTTAATTTTGTTGTACTGTAAGTATACAGCATTCCTCCCTGAGTTGCAGTCCTGACTCCCAGTGATTCATTTTCCAAGAAAATCTTAACTGAGGATTACCTTTCAGACCGATCTTTAATCAAAAAGTGGTTTCAAGCCTTTTCGTGCTTTTACCAAAAGATCTTAATGAAATAAGTTACCCATAGTTGACACTTGTAGCTGAAAGGCTGGGAGAGGTGAAGCAATCAGCCAAAAATATACCCAAACAGGTAACTTTGCAGCCTATACCTAGTTCCTGGCTGTTATAGCTTAATGTGGGCCTTGGCACGTTAGTTTAAGGCTCCCACACGAATATGTACCCTGTAATGAGAACACGGTAGAGCAACAGTAATGGCTGGAAGTGTAACAATACCAATGAAAATTCCTTAAATACACTTTGCTATCTGCCAAACCATACATCTAGGCAAGTTTTCAGCTCTGCATGATCTACTAGTGGCACGCAAAGGCTTGACTTTATTATATGGCAGGTCAGTATGTTCCACTATACTTCTATTTCAATTCCTTTATCCAGGAAAGTACTTGTAGAAACAGAGAGAAATCAAATGATTGTATATATAAGATGTATTTGTCTGTGAGATCATGAACAGAAAACAAGCCAATCCATGCTCCGGGAAATATCTGAGCACCTCAACTGTAAATACTATTTTGAACAATATTCAAACTTAAAATGAATATAGTTTCCCTTGGATTTAAATAGTTTGTACATGATAATACTATACCACAGAGTGTTATTTTCAAGTTGAGGAAAACATACTCATATTCATCAGAATATGCACATAGTTTTTATATCATGCTCCATAAAGTAGTATAAGGTATACATAATATTTGCTCAGTAGCAGAACTCTTAAGCTGATGTTTACATTTTCATACTGATTAAATATAGATTAAAGGATAAAGAGATTTATAAAAGACACAAAGCTCTGTCCCTAAGGCAAAACTCACCACTTCTGTGAATTCATTACTTCCTAAGTCCAGTCTCTCCAGCTGAGTCAGTCTGGACATGGTTCTGCACAGGAAGGGAATTAAAAAGGAATTAGATTTAAGAAAATACCAGTTACATCCAATCTTCCTGTATTAATATCAATATATTATTTTAATCAGTATTAAGTAGTGATGCTGTTCTGTAACTGGACCGATATCTAAATAAAGTAAAATTTTCACAAACTGTTCAACCAGGCCCATATTAATGATAATGCTGACTAGTGATTATCACACAAAGAGCTCACTGCAACTCATCTACAGATTGATTAGTTTACAAATACTAAAGACTACTAGAGTAATCTTTATGAAAAAGAGTAACTCAGTTAAGTTACTCTTCTTTTGAGTGCTCCAGCTTTTCGCCTACAATCACAATAAGTCTTCTCAGTAGCCAAAGGCTGGATGTTTTCCTCTCAAAGACGAAATGATCTGCCTAATGATCACCTAAAACAGAGAAGACCACTGTTGAATCACAGTAACCAACAACACCTTTCTCCCTCTCCAGGCTGCTGACGAAGTTGCTTCCATATGACATGGTCTGGAATCCTAACTATTTCTCTAGTCCTACAACAAATCAGATTACTAAATTGGATTTTGTGACACATCAATACTCTTTAAGCCAACTTACAGCAAAGACAAAATCAATGACTGAAATAAAGTAAAATCTATATTTCAGGTTGTGTTTTGGCAACTTTTTCCCCCCATTTAAGTTAACTTTGGGGACCCCACAGAGATTATCTATCATTGTACTTGGTGATCTGCATGATCAGTACTCCAGTCAACAGCAGTACTATGTAAAAATATTTTCAAAGGTGCTGTGAATCCCTCATACAACATTATGTTCTGTATTTATTTAATAAGAGATTTACATAGAACAGTTAATAATATCTGAAACTGTCAAACACAAACCATAAGTGTGTACATGCTATGAAATTCTTGAGAAACTAAATATAAGAGCTTCTAAATGGTAAAATATTTTATATTATTGAACCATCTATGAACACTAATGTCTTTAAAAAACATCTGCATGAGCATAGGATATTCTAGGCAACTATTCAGAACTTCAGTTCTTCAAATACACTAAGTATTACAGTTGTTCTGATACAGCCTTATTTACTAAAAGTAAGTTTATGTGATTATTAATATTATTTATGAAACAATCTCCAAAATGGATTACATTCAACATTTGCTTATAGACTTGATTTTCATTACACTATCCTAATTATGCTGGGGACAAACTAGGAGTTTAGCATAATTAAAGACATGATCAAGACAAAAGCAGAAGCCATTTTTTCCACTGTACACATAGTATACACAGGCTTTAGGGGAAAGCCTTTAACTCACATTCCCACCATCTCAAAGAAGAAAAAAATACATGAAAAAGCTACTTCCAGAATCATAGAATGGTTTGGGTTGGA